AATCCAGAATTAAGGTTGCATAGAGAAGTGTACTTGGGGTGGGGGGGAGGGGACGTGGGAATTGTATATTAATGAAGGAATTTTTTTTTCTCTTCGGAGGGGGAAGCGAGCTGGTGGGGAGGGGTGGGCAGGGAGAAAAGTGCGGCAATGAATGAATGGAAATCCAAAACCTCTAAATGTCTATTAAAAATAATAATAATTTTTTTAAAAGATCCATACATCCATACCTAATTTCCTGCCCATATCTTGCCTTTGCAAATTCCCATGCTGGCTGACAAGATCCAACTTATTTCAGTGTTGGCCTTCAGCCTTTCCCAGGAAGTGTTCATTTCCTCAAAAACAGAAAGGAAATACCCAGCAACAATAGCAAAGCTCAACAGGGCAGCAAACAACAAATGCTGGTGGGGTTATTCAGAGACTGGAACCCCTAGTCACTGCTGGTGGGAGTGTGAGTTGGTACAGCCACTACGAAAGGCAGTCTGGTGCTTTCTCAAAAAGTTGTAAATAGAAATACCGTTTGACCCAGCAATTCCCCTACTAGGAATAGACCCTAAAGAAACCAGAGGTGCCACTCAAAACAGATGTAGGAACACCCATGTCATTCCCCGTAGCAAAGAGATGGAAGCAACCCAAGTGCCCGTCAACAAACAAATGGATAGAAAAACTATGGTACGTTCACACAATGAAATACTACACAACATTGAAAAACAATGAAATAGTAAGACATTACACAACATGAGGGCATCTGGAGGACACAATTCTGAGTGACATTATCTCAGTCACAAAAGGACAAATACTGCGTAACAGCGCTGTTATAAAATTGGACAGACATGGAGGTGCTGGGAGAGAATGGGAAAAGAGAATAGATAATAAACATTGCAGTAGGTCACACGAGGGGTAGAACTATCAGAAAGGAGTATGTGATTGGGTGGTATTATTATATGTAAAACAGTCTGGAGCAAGGGGTGCATTTATGGGGAGGGAAGAAAAAGTGCAACTGTGGAAAACATTTCCTATGTTAAATAATATGTATAAAGGCTATAAAAGTGCTTGTTTATGGGACATGGTTATTCTGTTAAGAATCTAATGAATTTTAGGAAGAGGATGCATTAGTGATACCAAAGATGTAGATGAAAGTGTATTTCTGGTGGCCTATGGGGTAGGTAAGAATCTGTTTTCTTGACATTGAGATGCAATCCGCATTCAAGACTGTATTCCTTGATCTTCTGCAACAAGTGTTTCACGTCCTCGCTTTCAGCGAGTATGGTGCTGTCATCTGCAAACACAGGTTATTGATGAGTTTCCTTTGACTCCTGATGCCACACTCGCTCTACATAGAGTCCAACTTCTCAAATAGTTTGCTCAGCATACAAATTGAATAGGTATGGGGAGAGAATACAAGCCTGACACACGCCCTTCCTAATTTTAAACCACGTAGTGAAGAGGTTGAGATTGTTCACAGCTTTATTTTTCTCGGCCCCACAGTCAACACTCTTGGCACCAGCAGCCAGGAAATTAAAAGATGTGATGGGAAAGTCTGCTGTGAGGGACCTCTCCAAAGTACTGGAGAGCAGTAGTGTCAGTCTGGAAACTAAGATGTGCCTGATCCATTGTTCATGAGTCTTCCTCCAATTCTGATGCCACCTTCCTCCCCATAAAGCCCAGCCTCTCAAACAGTCTACATACAGATTGAAAAGGCACAGAGACAGGATACATCCTAGATGAACTCCTCATTGTGAACCATGCAGTGTTTCCTTGTGCTGTTCTGACGACTGCCTCCTAGTCCAAGTATAGGTTTCTCATTAGCATAATCAGGTGTTCCGGGATTCCCATTCTTCTCAAGGTTAGCCACAATTTGTTGTAATCCATGCAGTCAAATGCCTTTGCATAGTCAATGGAACATAGATAAGACATTCCTCTAGTACGCTCTGCTTTCGACCAAGATCTGTCTGACACTGGCAATGCTGTCCCTAGTGCCACAACCTCTTCCAAAGCCAGCTTCTGTTTCTGGCAGTCCACTGTCGAGGTACGGTTTCAGTTGCTTCTGGACACCCTGCAGCAGGATTTTGCTTGCATGTGATATTAGTGATATTGCTGTATAATTTCCACACTTGATCAGGTCGCTTTTTTTTTTGGAATTGGGATAAAGTTGGGTCTCAGATGGTTGTCCTCAAGTTTTCTTGGCAAGCCTGTTTGCTGAAATATGTCAATTGATATTCCATCAATTCCTGATGCCTTGTTGTTTTGCCATTTCCTTAAGCAGCTTGAACTTCTCCTTCATCATCCTTGCCACTTGAATATAAGTTGTTTCATGAGATAGTTCTGTGTCCGCCAGTTCTGTTTGGTACAGTGATTCTGGATCATTCCGTTTCTGCCCATAGCGTCTTTAAGTATTGCTACTTGAAGCATGAATTTATTCTTCAGTTCCTTTAGCTTAAAAAATGCTGAGTGAGCTCAGCCCTTTTGATTTTCCAATTCCAGCTCATTGCACATTTTGTTATAATACTGTGGATTTTCTTCCAGAGCTGCCCTTTGAAATCTTCTGTTCAGCTCCTTAACTTCTTGATTTCTTCCCTTTGCTTTGGCTTCTTGGCTGTCTAGTGTAATATTCAGAGTCTCTTCAGACATCCATCTCGGTCTTTTTTTCCTTTGTCTTTCTAATAACCTTTTCCTTCTTTTTAGATCTTAATGAAAATTTATAAAGAACTTGGATTTCCATTCATTCGTTGTTGCACATTTTCCTCTCTGCCCCCGTTCACCCCGCCCCCCAGTTCACTTTTTTCTTTGGGAAAAAAGTTCTTTCATTGTTATACAGTCAGCACCCCACCACCACCATCACCACTTTACTATGCAACTCTGATTCTGGACTCTTGTCATGCGAATAATACCGAATCAAATATTCCTACTGTACAATTCTCTCCCTCATCTGTTTCAATGTCATGTGCATTATTTATCCCCTTTTCTTAGTTTGCCCCCAACCCCCATATTAGTCCCTTTTTACAACAGTGGCACTATCCAGTATTTGTCTGTTTGTGACTGAGATATTTCACTCAGCATAATGTCCTCCATGGTCACCCATTTTGCATAAAATTTCATCAATTCTTTGTTTTTCCAGTGCTGTGTAATATTCCATTGTGTGAATATACCACTATGGAAGGCAGTATGGCGCTTTCTCAAAAAGTTGAAAATAGAAATACCATTTGACCCAGCAATTCCACTACTGGGAATTTACCCTAAAGAAACCATAACTGCCACCCAAGCAGATATGTGCACATTGATGTTTATTGCCGTTTTGTTCACAATAGCAAAGAGCTGGAAACAACCCAAGCGCCCATCAACAAATGACTAGATAGAGAAGCTGTAATGACCTTTTGCGTTCTTTATGAATAATATCTTGATAGCCTTCCACAGCTCTTCTGTCCTTCGCTCATTAGTGTTGAAGGCCTCAGATCTGTTCCTGAGGCCATTTTTTTAATTCAGATAGGATAGACTCAAGGCTAAATTTTAGTTCTTCTCTATTTTATGTCACTTTTCTTAGCTTCAATTTGAACTTGGATATGAATAGTTGATGGCCTGTTCCATAATCAGCGCTTGGCCTGGTTTTTACAGCTGATCTTTAGCTTCTAGGATGATTCTTTCCACAGATGCAGTCAGTCGGATTCCTGTGCAGACCATCAAGTGAAATAGAAATATAGAGACAGAGATAGAGATATAAAC